AAATTACTCATTTATGTATAAATTCAACACAAATAATGTCATTTAAAGAAAGTTTTTTTTACATGATTCATGTAAATTTGCACAAAAATTACGTAAATAGACATATTTGAAAAATATTATAAGTTTTGGGTAAGTTGTGTGCGGGATGAATAAATTCAAAACAGAAGTGGTGTTCCATGCATGTATGTATCAGCAAAAAAATTTGAAATGAAGTCGTGCTCATAAAAAAACGACTTCCAATTTTAATATTTTCCAAATTAAAAACCGTGAAATAACTATTTCATCTTTTCAATTATCGGTTTGCATTAGTTTTTTTTTTTCGATTTCTATAGAACATGACTTCTCATTCCTAATTTCAAATTTTTTGTAACTTTTTCACATTTTCCAAGATTTTGATATAAACATATATTTTTTAAATTATTTTTTAATAATTTAATCAATTGGGTTTCTAAATTATGTAATCATATATCTTTTAATTTTAAGATATTTATTTTAATAATTTAATTTTTTATAATCTTTTATATCTTAAAACATTGTTTTAATAATTTGATTAAAAATAATTTTAAATCTTTTAATTTTTTTATAATCTTTTATATCTTAAAACATTTTTTTAATAATTTGATTAAAAAGAATTTTAAATATTTTAATTTTTTTTATAATCTTTTATATCTTAAAACATTTTTTTAATAATTTGATTTAAAAGAATTTTAAATATTTTAATTTTTTTTATGTAAACAATTTTTTTCTTTAAGATATTTTTAATATTTAGTTTGACATACAAAAATTAAATAGTATAAAAATTAGAAATATTTATTTTAATTTGTTAATCAAATTATTAAAAGAGAATTTACATAAGAATTTAAAATACTTAAAAAAATTTAATCAAATTATTAAAAATATATTTGAAGGTATAAAAGGTTATAAGTTTTTTTAAAATTACTAAAATAAACATCTTAAAATTAAAAATATGATATTATATTCAACTTTCAAAATATTATAAATTTTAATAACCAATTAATCAAATTATTAAAAAATTAAGTTGAAATAACAAATAAATTTAGAAAATATAAAAAAGTTAGGGAACAAAATTAATTATAAAAGAGAAGTCGCGTTTTTAATGTACAAGTTCTATAACAAGTAATAATAAAATAATAAAAAATGATAATTAAGCCTCGAAAAAGTTCTTCAAAACACTCATAACCTGTATTTTGAAAAATATCAAATTTTTAAATTTTCAGGTTACACAAATAGTGTATATAAAACATTTTTTAAAGCCATTCATTCCTCGCCCGACTTATTCAAATCCTGTAATATTTTTCAAATATACTCATTTATGTAATTTCTGGATAATTTGCACCATAAAAATAAAAAATTCTTAATCAACTTATTTGAGTTTGAGTAAAAATCATTAAAAAAAGAGTTTATTCTGTGTCTTTGTCCTTCACTTAAGAAAAAATTTCTTGTTTGAATGAGAAGACTATCATTATTCAAGTAAGAAAATTCCATACAATTTTATATACAATGCTTAAGTGAGAAAAATGTTGTTTAAACAAAAAAAAGTTTCACCCAAAACATTTAACTGAATACACTAATCAAAATATCAATAAATCATGAAGCAATTGAAATAAAAATCAAATTATAAACTCATATTACCTCTATTCCAACCCCTAAAAGAAAAAAACCAAAAACTGCATAAAGCCAGTGAAATCCTACAATAAACTAATTCATAAATAAAACATGACATTACAAACCTATACTAAGCAGAGATCAATTTATTCAAGTTAGATCTCACATGTAAGCGTACCAACTCACATACAAACAAGAGTCAAGGGGAAGAAAAATTATTTTAAGATAATTGAAAATAATAAGATATAAGTGATTGAGTGCAGAGGAGAATCTAGTTAATTTTTCATAAAGTTTAGAAAGGACGAATTATAACCCGAAATGGGCAATCAAGAATGGATATTTGAAAAAGAAGGCAGGGAAATTATGGTCTGCTCTGGCATTATTTCAACTTAGCTACAACTCATAGGAAATTAGGGATAGAGAAAATGATGACGATTTGATATATATAATATTTTTAATGAACACGTGATTTTTAAAGCGTTTATGGTTCTCCTTAATTGACCAGTAAATGAAACTTTCACTAGAAAGACCCACGAAATCTTCCTTCTAAGGTTGGCTTCCGTTATTTGGCAGCTACTAATAGATTCACATCCGTCTTCAATGGAAATTAATAAATATCTTGGTATTTATGGACAAAAACTCTTAATTTATATCTACTATTTACTTACTACTCTAACATAAAACCGACCAAGCAAAACAATAAACTTTAAACTTTCAAAATTATAATTGAATAATAATAATAATAATAATAAATCCTAAGTGTTTTATAAATTTTTAATTATATTTAATTGAGTTTCTATTAATTATTTTTCATCTATTGAAGATTAAATAAATTTATATTTTTAACTGATTTTTTATTATTTAATTATTTTCTTGATTAAATCACGTGGTTGTGAAGTTGTCACCTGTTAAAGAAATATGAGATTTTATAAATAACTTGAGATGATATTAAAGTTAATATAGAATGACATATGATATTTATTTATTTATTTAAATAAAAACATGTTGAATAACAATGTCATCATATTCTTTAATAACTTTCATATTATTATTATTGGTATAAGTAACGAGGTTTGCCTTATTATTCAACAATATTTTAATAAAAGTAATAAAAAGTTATTTCTCATTATATTAATCATAAAACATCACATTTTTTTAATACTTAGATAGAAATAAGTTATATTATATAATATATGTCAGTCAACTAACAAAAACTCAATTAAAAAATATAATTCTTTTAATATATAAAAAATAAAACTATTAAGAGCTCAATTAAAAATATGAATATTTGAAAATTTAAAGAGTATAGTAATATATTTTGTACATTACACTTTATATTATTATTAAAACAGATCATTTGAATACTTAAGTCAATAATTCTTGATCAGTCATATGGATGTTGACACAAAGATATAATCACATGTGCTCACCCAATCTAAGAGATTATCAACATTAAGTATAATGATCGAGAAATTAGCAAAATAGCAAGATCAGGATGTAATCCATGAGTTATTCTCATAAGCAGAGTTACACACTGATTGGACTACAATTAGGCCTCACAAAAAGGTATGAGTCATCAAAGACACTATAAATAAGGGATATAGGTTAAAGTAGTTGGTAATTATCTCTATATATTAGACTATGTAAAATCAAACACTTACTTAAGCGTTATAATACTTTTGGTAAGTGTCTCGACAAGCTGACAATCTTGAGAAAACCAAGTTGTATTGGACAATCAACAAGAGACAATAATTAAGGAAGACATATCTCAAGATTAGGGTGATATTCACCTAACAATAATATATTTTATTTCTTGATGAGGTTTTTAAGAAGTAAGTCGTTCTACTACAAAAGTGATATATTACATTGGTTATTTACCACATGTTACAGTGATTTTAAAATCAATGTAATAAATCAAAACTAATTTACACTAGTTAATTCACAACCGATGTATAATTGGCTCTTGTCACTTTCGGCTATCACCACTAGCACATCAAATCCTCGTGTATCTTTAACAGCCTTCCTTCCTTCGTAAACAACACTGTTTCCACTAGTTTCAGAACCTTCTTTGTCACCACTAAGCTCATGTTTGAAGCGCAATGAGGCGAATCTAGATTTGGATCTGGATTTATCTGTGGCGGCATGACTCCCTTTTTGGAGAGAAACTAGCAGAAAAGGAGTGAGGCGGTCAAGAAATAACGACAAAGCAAACACCAATCCAGTTACTGACAGTAGCGAGGACAACGACTAGGGTTCAACATGAGGTGGTGAAAAGGTCTTGCCTCCTTTACACAATAGTGTTATTACTTCTTTGTTATGTTTGTGTGAATAATTTAAAGAATCTTACTTCATTCAATGTATGCCTCGTGAAATATTATCTTTAATTCTTTGTTGAGTAAGAAATGAATGTAACAATATAGAGTGTAAGATCTTTGTTAGGTAATAAATGAGTATGTTAATATGACTTTCTTTGTATGATTATAAAGATAATAATTATTATACTTGATTCGAACACAAAGACGATTAAAAATTTGTACTATTATATATATATATATATATATATATATATATATATATATATATATATATATATATATATATATATATATATATATATATATATAATATAAAATTAAAAGAATTTAAAAAAGTAGAAGAAAATAATAGACCAAATCATTAACACATCCTTTAATCGGATAGAATTTTCAATCTATTTATTTTTATGTGTATTAATCCAATCCGTTGCATTTGTAGGGATGACAATCATTTTGATCGAAATAATTGAGTATAAATAATAATTTTTATAATTTATTTTTTAAAATAAATAATATTCATAATTTACAATGTATAATTTTTAAGTTTAAATCTATTAAAAATAAAGATGACTTTACACGAAAAGAAATATAAATGAGTGAATTATTTTTTGAATGGACTCAAAAGAAAACAAGATGGAACAAATTGTTTAGAAGAAATATACACAAGAGCATGTTATGATGTGGTTGATGTTGTTAGATTTTAAAAATTTAAGTAATTATACAAATTAAATCATCATTAAGTATAAGTTATGTAAAGTGAAGCTAAGCAAACTACCATATTAAAATACTGAACTCGATCGACATTTTGAGACCCCTCTGTACCCTTTCATACGTTAACAAAATTAATGGTTGCGTCATTGCAATTGTAAAGGCTTTCACCATTGGAAATGATTACTGATACTTTTAATGTTTTTTCCTACAGAGCACAACCCTGAAAACAAAAGGTAACATAGGATTGGAGAGACTACAAACTTAAGTGTTGTTTACCATGTTGGAAATTAGGTTTCAGTACAAAACAAACTCAAGTTAAAGTTGTCTCTTCCCTTGTATGCATCAAACAGGTAAATGAAAATAATACTTGTAAAGATAGATCACACGTTACAGTTACAGCTATGGGTTATAACTAATATCTAATAACACTGGCCACCCAAAGCTTTACCCTGAGAAATACAACAAAACAAGAAACCACTTTGTTTAAATGTACATACATGAGTTGCCAAGTTTCTCCATTATACTATCATCTGATCTGAATGGAAACATAATATGCAAGGAACAAATAATGTACTTGCACTAAGCCTTCTGAAACTTTTCCACATATGCCTGCAGCCAAATGAAGAATAATTATAAGTAAGTTGGAAAATAAATACGTCTCAATCGTAACTTATAAAATGAAACATCTTCTGCAGTTGCATGCATTTTTATTCACATTCATCTACAAAATCCTAGTTAAATGGAAGCCAAGATATTCGTTTATATGATGAAAATCTTGAGAATGACCACTGACCTGTACAAGTTTGTCAATCTTTGTTTTTGATATTGATAAATAACGGTCAATTTGCTCTTTTGTCTGAGGAATATATGGCGGCTGCACTGTATCAGTAACTTTGTCAGCAACTTTCTTCACAATTGCTTTATAATCTTCTTTTTTTATTTTTCCACATTTCCATGTTGGATCTAAAAGCTCCTTAACGAACTCAACCAATTCAAATTTAAATGCATCAATTCCTTTCACATCCTTCACTGTCTTGGCGTCCTCAGGTTCACATGTAGAAGAATTTGGCTTTCCTTCAGCTACCATTTTGTTTTTCTCGTTACTATCCTCAACATTTTCACCTTTCTGCAACTCAATTGAATGTTCACTCTTGACAAGCTGTTCTTCTGAAAAGGCAGACTTTTTAGACTCATCAAAGTGTTGTTGTGAATCAGATAACAATGATGGAATTTCTGCTGTATCTTCTGTGATATTTTGACTTGGAGAAATGGCGGGGACCACCTTTTTTTCATTAACAATCATCGACTCTCTAAACTTACGTCTTGGATCTCGCGGCTTTAGGAGTCCAACAGAAGGACCTGGTTTGGTGGATGTTATGGAAACAGGGTTACCTGACTCTTCAGTTTTGCTTTGGAAGGGAGTGCTCTTTGCATCTAAAGAAACAGAAGGAGCAAAAATTTGTGGGAGATGCAGAATGGCTCCCAGGATTTGTAACAGATAGACTGAAAGATTAGTAAGTTGAGCTAGTTGCTCTTCCCTTGTCACGTTTTCAATTGGAGCATCACCTGAACCAACTTGTGGTATATTTGCATCCATGACATTTGCCCCACTTGTCTGTTTTTTCTCAGCAAACACTTCCTGGTTCTGCACACTTTCAATAGTTCTCACACTTGGAGGAACAGTGGAAGGTGCTAATTGACTTTGTCCAACTTCCTCACAGCTTGAAGAATGCGAAACATTTACATTTTGATGAATTACTTGTTCTGGCATAATGGTACAAAAAAATAGGATTATGTATGAATCAACAAATTTGATTTACCCATCATATTCCAAAAAAAAAAATGATTACCTGGAGTAACTTGTTGCTTACTCTGCTCATGCTCTTCTTTAATAGGGATGGGAGATGTCACACCATAATTCCAATTATGAGACATTTTTTCATTTCCTACTGACTGACAAGTGTGAACGTTGGAACTATCACTTTTGGCCTCCTTCACTTCACTTGAAAATGTTGATTCACCATGCACTGTGTTCTTGTCTAAGCTATGGCCCCGTTCATCACCAACGGGCAAAGTATTAAATCCAGGTTCTGGGTCAACCATAATTCCTTGTTTGTTATCTGCACCAGCCACACTACCATCTAAATCCTCTCCATCATCCATTAGCTTGCCATGGAGACTGACTTCACTTGATTCTGGCCTATCCAAAGCCTGATCTCCATCGCTGCTCCTTAACAAGTCATCCTTGAAGCCTCTACTTGGGCTCCCACTTGCTTGCCTATCATGAGAAAATCTACAATCTTTACCATATCGACAATTCCCAAATGGATATAATTTGCAAGGAATGTCACTTCTCTGGTTTCTACCACCTTCTTCGAAAGAACTCCCTCTGCACCTTCTATCAATTTCCATTTCCCCAGTCGATTCATCCATAGAAGTTTTATTGAACTTGCTAGAATTTTCATGATGCATATACTTGCATGATTCTCCCATTCTACACCTTCGATTTGCATAGTTTATACAAGTTCCTTTAGATCTTCCACTTGGACTAGAATATAAGAGAGATCCATCTTGCCTGCGTGAACTTACCCTGCTGTCATCAATTTTTTGATTGTCACCGTGAAGGAAGAGACATTTACTTCCTCTTCTGCATTTCCCATAAGGAAAATATCTACATGCTGCCCTCATTCCACATCTATCACTGGTTCTTGAATCCCACCTAAAATTACGAGGGCTCCTGCTCCTGCTCCGGCTTGGGCTACTACTTCTACTCCAAAGAAAGTCAGACAAGTAAGAAAACCAGTTTTATACAGAATGTATGCATGCCATGTCAAAGAAGAAAATTCTCTTGAGAAGAGAGTAGTTTGAGTTTTATATCTACCTTGTTGTTAATGATATAAAATATAAAGCAGTCTAAAAGTATCAAGAACACCTGGAAATTTACAAAGTTGAGTATAGACCCACAGACATTGGACAAACACAATCTGAAACCACAGGATGGAACATGACATTCATTCATCTTAATAAGATATGTTTGAAAATTGTTTTGACACGTAAGTTTATCTAAAGGACCTAAGAACTTCGGCTTCAAAACTTTTCTGCATAATCTAAGTTTTTAGCATGTTTTTTGAATGTTGTATAAATAGAAAGATAAAAAACCATTCCATATTTATCGTGTGATCATTTATACAGCTAAAAGAAATACAAGACTTAATGTTTCAATCGTAATAATTCATGCAAGATCCCCATCTTCTGACTATATCATGCATGGAAACTTAAATGAAAGGGAAAAGAAATCATAAGCCATACAGAATAACATACGTGAAACAAGTCACAAATTCTCAAAATCAGAACAAAAGTGTCCGCGTTTTGTCAAGTAAGCAAAATATAAGGTATTGCTTACCTGTTTGGTCAGCATCCAGTTCACGAAGTTTCTTTTCACCTTAATTATCATTCTCAATGGAATCATATAACTAAAATATGCTTCAAACGTGTTTAAACATACTACTCAGTTCCCAGAGGTGACAAAGCATTCTCATGAGCATTAGCACAAAATAATATGCCTGTTATGGTATCTTCATAGAATTTTTGTTCTCATAAAACACATCACTTAGGCTCATCAAGTGTCCATTAATTTTCAGATATAGGATTAGTGCAGATGTTAAGTGGAGAAACAAACCTGTCTGACCTACTGTAACCAGTTTTTGGGGATTGACTGTACTTATTTTTTAAATCTTCATTTACAGGTGACAATTCCATTTTGTTACTTCCATCAGTGTTTTGCGCATCTGAAACTCTGTCATCTTTGCTCACAACAATGTCATCCTTATTTGAACACCTGCCTCCAGAAAAAGATTCCTCGTTTGAAAATCCCATTCTTGGATTTAAGTTATCGTTTCTTTCCAAATAGGAAGAGTTTGAATTGTTGCTACTAGTAGTACCTGTAGATGACCCAGACTACAATTATGGTGTGTTCGTAAGTAAAAACACTGGAATGATATAGATGCTTATTATCAAATTTATGAAAAGAAAAACTGTTCTTTTTTCATTAGATTTTAGCTTTTTGGAAAAAAATACAAAATCTTTCATATCTTGTATTGCAGAGATCAAATTGACATGACAAAATTTCAGAGGCAAAAAGTTTTCATACGAGTACTTAAAGTCAGTTAAGCCATTTAAAGAGTTGAACACTTTGTAGACAGTGACAGACAAACAATTAGGTTGCATATATTAACTACTAAGTTCAGAATTTAAAAAAGATTTTGCTGCCATACCATAAGATGCAAATTCAGGTCCATCTCCTGAATCCAACTTTGAAGAGGTGTTTCTGCCGGTTCCGCTCATCTCAATCTCCAAAGCCTTAAAGCTTCACTTTTAAGGATGCATAATGCTCTGATTCAGATAAAACAACAATATCATCGACAAAGGTAAAATACAATAAAACAGGAACATGAAATCTATCCTCATTCTTCTAATATCCTTCACTAAAGGAACATGGCATGCTAGAAATAGGAACAGAATAAATATCAAACGAATGAGAGTGTGTACATTTTTAATAGCGAATAATTATTAATGCAAACAGTTCCATCAAAAGTTTCAAGGATTCAGCCTTATCAAAATTCGCACTTCAAATCAACCATACAAGATACAGATATAAGTGACCATTTTAAAACGAAAAAAAATTAGTCAAAGAGAATAAGAACATACAACAGGAAGGAGGATTAGGCTTCCCTCATACTAGCCAAAACAAGAAGGAAAAAAGAAGACAATATAAAAGCAAACAACTTAAAGAATTTCTCTAATGTTTAGCTCATATCACAGGGTGTTCAAATTGCAGCTCAAGATTCTTAGATATGTAGAGGATAGTATCTTTCATTCCTTATGCTTCTCGAACATACGGTCTGCTATAACTTTTGTATCATCTGCAAGAACTGAGAGATGAACTTAAAGAAATTTATCTTTATCACTGAAGGTTACATCAATCATATAGTGGATGAACTTAAAGAAGTTTATCTTTATTGAATTGAACTTCTTCGATGTTGTTTTCTTGCGGAAGAATAGGAAACATATATAGACTGCTACATTGAGTGCACTTGAGGGTAGAAGGTATACTTCGAACTTTTACAGCAAACATTAAATACCATGACAGACAAACCTAAATTTAACATTTTGGTATGAAGAATGCAGGAAACAACAGAAGCAATATCATGATTAAAGATGATGGCGAAACCATAGAGCAAGAGGTATGTCATCGCTAGGTAGGTAGAAGGTAGAATATCTTACAGTACTGTAATGCATTAACATTACTATTGGCTTAAAACTATCTTTATGCTTAAAATTTATAGTAATGGACATATATAAGGTGCCCGATAGGTTGAATAGAATTTACATGCATACGTTTTTTAATTCTAAGAATATCCAAAGATCATTCAGATTAAAGCACAATAAAGAAATACATGTTAAAATAGTTGTTCACTAAGATGAGCAAGAAAAGTTTCTTTTGATTCTTGGATTTTTGGTGTGTACTAATCATCAAAGAGGAGTCTTTTTGATTCCTTCTTGGAAGTTTCTTGGCAGCCATCAAGTTAATAATGATGTTGAAGATCACAATGCTCGGGTTTTGGAGAAATTAATCTGTTTCTTCTGTTGAGGAAACAGTAATTCTCACTTGACAATACCTCAGAATTCCCTGGCACATGCATGAAGGGTGATGTTGCTACCAAAATCACTGAGGAGGAGTATCTCGCAAGACTTGAAGGATAATAATTTTGTCTAAAGAAGGTTCTGCCCTTAAAAGCTGCTGATAAAGAGTTGTAGATATTTGGAACCTTATTCTTGAATGGTCTTTAGGGTCTCTTGGTACGTGTTGTTTTGAATTCTCCTTCGCATCAATGGATGATTTTAAAAGAGTTCTCTACGCTGTTTCTTGGAGTCTTATACCTGACATTCTTCTACTTTTTCTATGGACTCCTGAATTCAGTCCTTTCAAACAAAGACAGTCACGTTCAAGTCTTGGTTAGGATTCTTATATTGTCCAAAATATACTGTCGAGCAAAAGCTATTTTTGGTTAGATATTGGGATTCAATTTTGTAGCGTTGAAGTATAAGTTCAAGGTTTTATATTATATAAAAATAGACAAGATGGAAAATATATATGAAAAAAAAAACATTATCTCTTCTTTCATGTTCTCTTACAGAGTTAACTTATAACTCATTTCCTACTAATTATGTTTACTTACTTTAGTTAGTTTGATTGTATCAGTGATAATGTTGAGTTATGAATTTACTTGGACTCTAATAGATTTGTCATCTAAATATATTGGATAATCTTTTACTAACACGTATGGTATGATGGTGCTGATAAAAAAGTGTAAGGATTTAACCTTAGGCTTTTACTTCCATCACACCCTTATAATTCTTTTGAGCACCCCTCAAATTTTCAAAATAACTATTTTTTTCCTTAGGAAAAGTGACTTCCAAATGATATTTTGGAATTTTCGGAATAAGATTTTCGAAAGAAAATTTTCGAAATAAAATTTTGGAACAAGATTTCTGGAATGTGATTTTTAGAAGAAAATTTTCGGAACATATGAAATGTGTTCCATAATATGTTTTTCAGAATGAGATTTCCAAAATAAATGTTTCGAAACGTATATAGTGCATTTTGGAATGATTTTTCTGTAAACCTCTACATGAAATGTATTTTGAAAATACATTAAATAAGTTTTGAAAAGAACTTTTCGGAATGATTTTTTATTTCTTTTTTGCATTTTCTCTATTCTTTCCCTGCAAGGTTGTCCCACTCATGTTTTTTTCTATAGCAGCGACATAACACAATAACAACTATTGTGGTAATAACAATAGTGGTGCATGATGGAGTGGTAAAGGGTGTTTGAGCCTTTCCCTAGTTCAATTAGTAATTGTGGAGGGTGTAGGAATCAATAGCCTCGGCCTTAAACCAGTGCGAACACAAAATTGATCTCTTTTTGTTCACCACTCCTTTTTTATGTTATAGTTTTGTTTTATGTTGTTATGGTTTAAGTTACCTTTCTTTAATAATGATATTTAGAACACTTTTTTATTGATTATAAGCCTGAAAAAAATATACGTGCAGTTAGTTATGCACTGATGAGATATAATGGATTCAGAGAGTAATAGTTTTGTTATTCCTTAGGTTTTTTTTTTTAGGAAATTATTACTTATAGATTGTCAAAATGGTACAACGTTTAAAGTCTTTTGATGTATGCAAGATAAACAAGTTGTCTATTGAGAGTTAATCCTATCTCAACTCAAATTAGGCTACATCAAAAGAAGAAAATGAAGAAGGGAAAAATTATCTTATATTTGTAGTTTTGGGAGATGAACTGTTTAGGAACATTGTACATATCAAAATATTCAAACAAATATTGGATGAGTGAAATATGAAAGAGTAAAATTCATTAAGCTTTTAACTCTAAAAAAAACTTTGAAATGCTTAAAACAAAGAAAAATAAGTACATTAAGAAATACATTTTAGAATTGTCTTACTTGGTGAACTAAATAAAGTTATATGATGAGGTCGTCGTAACCCACAATATTGTAGAAAATATGTTGATTGGTTTACTAAAAAAAATTGAAGTCAAAGTCTTTTCAAACTTAACAAAAGAAAAAAAAATGAAAAATCAAAAGAAGTTGAACTATAAAACATTTCATCAAAAGGACAAGAATAAGAAGGATAGAGTTCTAATGAATAATCTGCAAGAGGTGATTTCTCCTTCTACTACATGAAAAAGAACAAATCATTTGTCAAAGATTGTTAGGGAAGAAGATGTCTCATATTCATTATAACATGAAAAAAAAAGAGATAGATGGAGAAATGTACATCAAGTCAACTTTACATTTCAAATTGAAGAACTATTGTTTATGACTACTCAAGCATGGAATTTCAATTTCAAAAAATGTATTTAATGTTGACCGTGATCACATAAGCCATATGACACATTTAATTATATTCATCTCTTTGAATATGGGTGGGCAAACCAATGTCAATCCTACATGGAGAAAGTGTTCATGTTGAAAGGAAAGGTACATTTTTTGTTTACATTGAAAAAAGACATATATTTATTCATGATGTCACTAGTACAAAAAAGAAATTATTGGTTATTTTCAAAGTTTAACTACAGTTCTCCAATTGAACCATATCAAGGCGACATAAAAAAGGGGGATTTTAGGCTTCGTTTCTAAAAGCAATCAAAGTCTATATGTGACATAAAATAAAAAATTTGAAATGATTTAAATGCAAAAATGGGAGTGTTCTTCGAACAATGGAATGTAGAAATGGGAGGCGAAATATGTACAAGGTGGAAAGCATAAAGGAAGGAGAAGGCGTGAGCAATGCCTGAACAACGGAAGGAGAAGACGTGAGCAATGGAGTAAGGCACAACCTTGATGAACTTGCGACGAAGACCATGTGTCATTACATGTTGCGAACAAACATTAAACAAATCAAAAGAAATGCAAAAAAGAGAAAAACGAACCACTGAGAAATGGTTTGTGGCGGCCAAGAATGAAGATGGAGAGATGAAAACAGGATGTTTCACAAGGAGAGAACACAAGAACAAGATGCTTTGCGATGACCAACAATGATAATTAAAAAGGGCTTTACATGAAGAGGAGACCAATAATGACCTATTTCGTTGTAATGAATAAGAGAAAGTATGAGTTTTCACAAATATAGAAGAGATACAAATGTTCTATAATGACCCAATGTTGTAACATGGAAGTAACTTTTCTAAAAGTTTAATCATAAGTAAAAGAATATGCTTCTTAGTCAATAAAAAATGGACTTCTTGAAAATGAAACATATTAGGTGAGTTCGAAATCCATTTTTGCACTAG